ACGGGGACATGGGGGACACAGGGGGGACGCGGGGGGGGACACGGGGACATGGGGGACATGGAGGAGGACACGGAGGGACATGAGGGGGACGTGAGAACGCCCCCAGAACGCCCGGGGTCCCTGGGGTGTCCGAGGTCCGGGTGTGTCCGGGGTCCGTGGGTGTCCCCGGCGCCGCGGGGTGTCCCCGGTGACACGGGTGTCCCCTCCGCCGTGGGTGTTCCCGCAGGACGGGGTTCCCGGGGTGACACGGGGTGTTGCCCCCCCCGGTGGGTGCCCCCGCCGGGTCCCGGGTGGCCGTGCCGGGCGTGCCCGGGTGGTCCAGGGGGGACTCGGGTGTCCGGGCTCGTGGGTGGGGGCAGAGATTGGGAGCAGCGCCCGGGGCGGGCGGGGACACGGGGCGGGACCGGGACACGGGACGGGACTGGGACCAGTACAGGGACACGGGACGGGACCGGCACCGGGACAGGGGACGGGACTGGGAGCGGAACCAGCTGCGGTAACGGAACTGGGATTGGGAACGGGGACCGGCACTGGGATGATGGAAGGGGGACCGCGACCCAGATCGGGGCGGGGATAACGGGACGGGACTGGCACCAGCAGTGGGGAACGGGACAGGAACCGGGACCAGCTCAGAGTTACTGGGACCAGCTCAGAGTTACTGGGACCAGCTCAGAGTTACTGGGACGGGAACCGAGACCAGCACGGGGATAACTGAAAGGGATACTGGGACAGAAAGTGGGACCTGCACGGGATAACGGGGTGGGTCTGGGATCAGTTCAGGCTTGTTGGGACGGGAACTGGGACCAGCTCAAAGTTATGGGACGAGAACTGAGACCAGCACAGGGATAATGGGATAGGAATTGGGAGGGACCAGTTCAAGGATATTGAGACGGAAACTGGGAGTGCACGGGGATAACGGGATGGGACTGGGACCAGTTCGTGGTTACTGAGAGGAGAACTGGGACGGCAGCACGGGGGAACGGGACGGACTTGAACCCGCTGGAGAGGGAAGGGACCAGCGGGAGCCGAGAAGCCCCCCCAACCCCCTCCCCCAGGGGGGATCCAGGCGTCCGGGAGCGGCCCCCGCCCCCGCATCGGGAAGAACGGGGCCTCTGTCCCCGCGGGGACAATGCGGACATTGACGGGCCCCCCCACCCCCACTGCCCCCGCAGGACCCCCCATGGCAGAAAAGGATGACCCCCCAAACGCAGCCCCCGCCCCCGCCGGCCCCCCCGGCACCCAGGTGGGCACGGGGGGAGCGCTGGGGGGGGAGTCCGGGGGCTGTGGGGGGCTGTGGGTGTGGGGGGATCGTGGGGAATTATGAGGGACTATGGGGCACCCAAGGGAGCTCGGGGGGCTGGAGACCCATGGGGAGATGTTGGGGGGGCGAGGGGAGGCATGAGGGACCCCAAGGAGCTCGGGGGGGGTGCGAGGGGGCCATGGGGAACAGTGAGAGGGGGTTATGGGGGAGCCCAAGGCTCCACGGGGACCTGTGGGGCACAAGCGGGGAGCCCTGGGGAGCTGGGGGGGCACGGTGGGGTGTACAGGTGAACTGGGGAGGGGGGCTGGAAGGGACCCTGCCAGGCTGGGGGGCCGTAGGGGGGGCCGGCGGGTCCCTCCTTGAAGGCCCCACTCTGGGTGCCCCCCCCCGCCCAGCCCTGCCGGCCCGTGCCGAGGGTCCACGCCTTTGGGAAGGGGGGGCAGGCGCCGCGCAGGGACCCCCGCACCCCCCCCGCCATGCGGGGCTGGCTGCACAAGCAGGTGAGAGCGGGGAGGGGGGTCACGGGGTTTTGGGGGTTTGGGGGACCCGTGGGGGGTGCGGGGGTGGAAGGGCTGAGTTGGGGATCAGAGAGGCTTTGGGGGGATCTGGGGCAGTTCGAGGTGCTGGGAGGGTTGTGAGATTTGGGGTCGATATGGGTGTGTGGAAATGCTGCGGGTTGTGCAGGGTTGGGGGGTCCGGAGTGGGGGGGATGGGGGGGTATTTGGGGGTCAGGAGATTTGAAGGGGTTCTGGAGTGTTGGGGGGTCCTGTGGGTGGCTATGCGGGTTGGAGGGGTCAGGGAGGGCAGTATGGGGTTTGGGGAGGTTGTAGGGGACCAGAAACATTTGGTGAGTCTGGGACACTGTGGGGGCATTATGGGATTTGGGGGGTTTGGGATGGGACAGGGTGTTGGGGGGTTATGGGGATTGGAAGGGTCTGGGAGGGCAGGGGGTTTATGGGGTTTAGGGAGTCTGAGAGGGCAGGGGGTTTATGGGGTTTGGGCATTTGGGATGGCAGAGGGTTTGTGGGGTTTGGAGGGTCTAGAATAGTAGGGGGTTATGGGGTTTTGGGGGGTCTGGGATGGCAGGGGGTTTATGGGGTTTGGATGTTTGGGATGGCAGGGGGTTTATGGGGTTTGGGGGGGTCTGGGGTGGCAGGGGATTTATGGGGTTTGGGGGGGTCTGGGGTGGCAGGGGGTTTATGGGGTTTGGATATTTGGGATGGCAAAGGGGTTTATGGGGCTTGGGGGGGGTTGGGATAGCAGGGGGTTTATGGAGTTTGGGAAATCAGGAGGGGTTGGGGGATCTGAGGCAGCAGAGACCCCCGGGGGAGGGGGTGATGGACTGGGGGACTCAGCCCCTGTCCCCCTCTCCCCCAGGACAGCTCGGGGCTGCGGCTCTGGAAGCGCCGCTGGTTTGTCCTGGCGGATCTCTGCCTCTACTACTACCGGGGTGAGGGGGGCGGGGGGGGCGGGACACCCTGGGGGTGCGGGGACCTGCGGGTGAGGGGGGGCTTGAGCGACCCGGGGTACCTGTGTGGGGGTGTCAGCGATCCTGGGGGATCCCCGGGGCATTGGGGATCCTGGGAGACTGGGGGGCCCTGCGGTGTTGGGGGTTCCTGGGAGTCTCAGGGATCCCAAGGGGACTAATGGTCCCTGGGGGGATCAGGGTTCCTGGGGTACTGGGGGGCTGTAAGGGGGGAGGGCAAAAGACTGGGTGTCCCTGGGGTGTTGGAGGTCCCTGGAGCGGTCGGGGATCCCAGTGGGATCCATGGGGCATTTGAGGGTCTCTGGGGGAGTCAGGGATTCCTGTGGGATGTGGGGTCCCTGGAGCTTGGGGCATTCCTGGAGGTTCAGGGAGCCCCGGGAATTGGGAGTCCCTGGGGCATTTGAGGGGGGCTCAGGACGGGATGGGGATTCTGACAGGATCAGGGGTCCCTGGGGCGTTGGGGGTCCCTGGGGGATTGAAAAGGTCCTTGGTGGGGTTCTGAGGTCTGGGGGGGGCTCTAGAGGTTTGGGGGCAGCCGATGGGACTCAGAGGAGTTCCCAGCAC